GACGCGATGATAGATATATTTTAAGATTTAACTTAAGCGTTATCGCGCGCGCGGTAGGTCGGCGTTTCTGGTTTGGCGTTGTCGTCGGAAAAAAATAAAAATTATAATAAAAAAAGCAAATCAAATGAGAATGCTCAAAAGAAGACTAATACTAACTAACTTTATATTTTGTTTAAAAAAAAAAAAAACAGAACTCGAACGTTTCAATTTTCGATTCGTCTCAACCGTTGTGCACGGTGTAAACGACAACAGAAATCCGATACACACGCGTACCCGAAGGCACGCGGTGTCTTCGGATATTGCGTATACATTGAGTGATTTTATCGGCTGTATATATACAGCCGATAAAATCATGAAGGATCGACGTAATAGCGACGGAAATCCTAGATCACGTTGCGGTTACACGCGCGTCCTTGAACGATACACACACGACCGCCGTCTTCGGTACGATTATTATTATTGTTGTTGTTGTTGTTGCGAGTTTCACACATATATCGTTTAATGTTTTATCGTAATAATTACAATTATCAAAAAACAATCGATCCACATGGGAAACGTTCGGTTTTCCTCTCTATTTCTTCCGGCGACGACAACATTTTCGCAAACTGTCGCAAAACCTTCCGCGTCGTACATGTGACGTCCATGAAGTAGTTGTTCCACCGTCCACTCGAAGTAGTTCGTAATATTACCGATATCCGTGGTCGGTTCGAAAAGTTTAGAATTAACACACTAACCTGCTGGAGGAAGGCCGTCGGGCGCAAATCCGCCATGATCAGAAATCGGTCATAACGGTTCTTACTGTTGTCCGTTACGATATTTACGATGGTCGGTGATGACGAAGACACATAAAGTAAGTATTTGAAATTGGTTTAAATGAAGATAGGTATTACCGAATACAACAAAATTAGTTATTTTAAAAATAAATATAAATTGTAAAACACAAATTTTACACAAGCCACAAATAACTTAATAATTCAAAATATTTCGTTAGTTTTTTTTTTTTTTGGTATTCTCATATACTTACAAATTTATTTATGGGGTATTTAACGTTTTTTATTTTTATGATTTTAAATATTCTACTTCTGACTACATATTCTTCATTAAAATCACATATAATTTGACTTTGTATAATTTTATAATATACAAATTCATCGTTTACTATTACGGATTTTCACTACAAAACGGGTTCGGTTTAGCAACAAATATATTTATCATTACTTCTTAAATACGGACTGTGGAATTTATACGCGTTGTCGTCGTTTTATTTTTCGTCCTATTCTCTTAATGATATCGTATGCAAAAATTAAACTGCACGACGTGTACGTGACATCATCTTCAAAATTGACTGATACAGCACCACGATAAAATATTGATGGTAGCAATAAACGTACGAATTATATGATCGAACGAAAACTATTCGAACAAAAATCATAATTTAGAAGTACACACGAAAGTGTATCTTGTGATTTAATTGAAAAATTAAACTTATGAGAACGAAATCTCTTACTTGGCACTACGTTTGAAACGAAAAGCGAAAAACTTGGTCACATCTTCTATACACTATCATACATCTAAATATTACATATATATGTATAGCCCAGTTACTAAATCGTAGCTGAGGTGCACTTAAACACATTAGTTTTCTCTACTTAATTATTTACAGTTAGATTAAATAACCCATTAACGTTCCATTATCCTTGAAATATTGATTTTATATATATATATATATTTTTTAATATTAATTGTGATGTGATGTATTTTTAAAGGATGTCAATTTTTTTAAATACATTTCATTCCTGTTTCTTTTGATTCAGGATCGTTTTATGTTGTATTCACGAAATTATCATTATCCTATACATAGTATATATATATATATATATATATATATATACATATTATTATGTAAACACATTTTAAATAATTTGCAAAATATTACCCAATTTAATTACATCTTTTAGTCTATCAAGACGTATATTGTATCAAATGCAGGCGCTTCATAACACAGTAATAACGTAGAATAAGTACAAAACTTGCTAACTAATTATTTGCTTAAGATAAGGCACTGGGAATATAAATATCAATGTATTATAACTCCGAAAAAATCATTTTATTCCATTTATCTTATGAAACATCTTGGGTTTATTGATTTTTTAGGTATTATTTAGAGACCTAATTTATTGCCATTTGATATGTTATATGTTAATACATATTATATTACGTGATGAACCACCACAAAAAGTTAAATTTAGAAAATAAATGTTATAATACTCAATTATTATTTAAATTAATATTTATAAATGTTTTTATTTTTTCCAGACTGCTATAAAATCATATACTTGGAATGAAAATATGAAGTTGTAACATATGAATTTACAAAGCGTCATCGCAATCAACGTTTTAGAGATCCCCTGATAACCATTGAAATAAAACACGGTAGAAATTTTTTTTATCCGTGATTGAACGATAAAAGTACAATTTTCAAGTAAAATTTACAAAACACTTATAAATGTGTCAAATAAAAAAACATAAACATTTTTACTGAAACATCTAGTAACCTTCATATAAGTTCTTTTCATAATCCGTTAAAAACATGTGATAAATTGGATGAAGAAAATGTATTTATATGCAGGAAAATAAAAGTAGCTTGTATAATATTTAAAAAATTCGACTATCGTATGACCCCACATTTCAGGCGTGAATGATATCCAAAGTACGAGTGTGCGCTGAACCTTAAAATAAATTCGGAACGAAAGGGAAAGAAGCTAAACAAAAATAATGAATGCATTGTCTCCACCGTAACTGTTGCATCATGATATACGTCCGATTTCTGAATTCAATGAACAAAGAACAATTGTGTTATTGGAAATCGAAAGACATAAAAATCAACGGAAACTGCGATGGGTGGGTAGCGTAAGACGCAAGAGTTTGAAATCCGTTTTCCGACGTCCGCACGACGCTAACATCCCGAAATACTTGATATCCACGTACTTCACGAAATACTATGTGACAACTTGAGAAACTTTTCGGTCGTCCGAACACGTGATATCTTTCTGCAGCCGTCGCAGACTTCTCGACTGCAACAAACAACAAACTTTAGCCCGTGCCAACTGTTGCACGCAGCATTCCCTTCGATGCATAAAAGACACACCGCTGCAGACAAAACACGGAAAAAATTGTTTCATCGCACTCGCGCACGCACACACACATAAATATTTAAATTTATTTAGAAATTAAAGTACTGCAGTATCGTAATCATATTAAAAAGCTACCAAAAGGATGCTGATGATAGTTTTAGCGTGTGCGCGGGTACCAATATTCTTAGTGAACGCGTATTACAGTGTCGACGTATACATTAAACGTAGAACGTGATACGACAAATGGATGTTTGTATCGCTTGAACGTCGCCGTGAAGAAAGAAAAAAACAAAAGTCGCCCTTGGCAGGTCCTGAATGTACGGACTCGGGATCACTGAACGGTGGCTTGTGAGCGAACACTACGCAACCAGCCAACAAGGAAATGCGATGATGCGTTTGTAATTACTAGCGACTAGTTATTTCTTATCATAGAACACTGTTAAGTTGTCACAGACAGCGATGAGTGCATGAAATGGGACCTTGACCGGTCGGCATTATTATTATAACAATATTGTTACATGTGTACATTGAATCTCGATGATTCGCGTTAATTTTCCGGATTCTTCGTGTGGCCCTGGGTTAGTATTAATAGATGTCCCTTGGTGTATACAGACTGCGGAACAAACGAATCACAAAACCATTTTAGACAGTTTTCCGGACTCGAACACGACCGACCGAAAGTGTTGAAAACAAAACGAACTTTATCGTAAACTAACATGATACAAGGACTGTACATTAACTTTAAAATATATTTTAAAGTATAAATATATTTTAAACGTAATACATTCATACCAAACATAATTTAACTGATTTTTTTTAGATAAATTATATGGTGACTAAATCATAGTATGTTGATTATTTTTTTTTTCAATTATTGCTTTATTATTAGTTTAAGATTGTTAGTATTAGATGTAGTACTTACAGTTCATAATTAACTTTTTTAATTCGGTACATCACTGGATTTTGTCTTGTGGTTCTATAAATTTGTGTTTTAATAAACATAATTCCTAGCGGTTTAATTTCAAAGATAAATACATTTTAATCTAAATAATTCAAACATTATTATTTACCATCACCTATTTTTATAATTAGAAGAGTTAAAATGTTTTCGGTACTGCGCTAATTTTTACTTAATTATTTTAAATTAATTAGCAGTTAAGTTTTTCGTTCTACTGGTTCGTAGATTGTTTTAGTCAGGCTACACTCCGTCTCCGACGCAAACTTACCATAGTAGGAGATGGACGATCAATTATAACTTCAATTTAAAAAATTGAGAACAGATTAACAGATGTGTTAAGAAGACTTGTATTTTTGAAGATATTAGCTCATCAGTCAACTAAGACAAGAACAAATGAAATATGGTTTGACACTGGATTGTTTACCAAAACAAATAAAATTGAGACTAAATGAATGCTGCGATATAACAAAACCTAACGTAGGAGAAATACAATGTGTAAGAGCTTCTAGAAGATGCACTTTATGTGACCGCTCAAAAAATCGCAAATCAGCAAAAGCATGCACCATTGCGCACGGCTCATCTGCAGAGACCATATTATAGAGACTTTCCCTGGCTACTTTGAGGCTTTATAGTTTTTTATATCGTTAAATAATAACGGAATAAAAATTATAGTATTTGTATACCACAGGTTATTATTTGTTTTGTTTGATTATAATTTATAATTTAATAAGAAAGATATCATATTATATTTGTAATTTAAAATCTGCAAAAAGTTAGTAAAAAGAAAAATGTATTTTTGTATTAACTGGAAATAATTACCTCACGCGCGCAAATATTTAGTCCGATACCGCGCGCGTCACTTAAGGGTTAAACACGGGGGAAAAAAAAAATTACCAAAAAATGTTTACCTGCTCGTGTGCAGTTTTTCGGTGCGTTCCGGACGTGAGAACGCGCGGTGGCGGACGACTCCGGGAAACGCGAAACCTGCGGCGAGAAGACGTCGTCCGGGGATTCGGAACGGTGGCTCCGTGTGAGAGGGTAAACGCGGCAGCCGAAAACGGAGGGAAAAAAATCGAAAAACGGTCGTGTCGGTGACAGTGGCGACTGCGCGGACGACGGACTCGCGTGCGGAAAAACCGGTTGAACACAGCAGCGTACGACAACAGTTCCGCGACAATTGGCCCGTCTCACGGGTCCGCCGGTGCATATAAAGCGATGATGCGCCGGACCCGGTCCCCCCCCACCCCGTAGGCCGTACGGTTAGACGATGGGGAGAGGAAGGGAGACCGGACCGAGGTCACGGCTACGCGCTCCGTTCGTCGGGCGCGCGGAGGCAGCGGCGGCGGCGGCGATGACGTCGACGAGCACGTGTGGGCGCGACGGAAGGGTGAGCCCGCGCGTCCGGTCGCGTAAACGCTGACCAGGAACACCTTGCTTGTCCGGCGATCTCGTGGAACGCGCGCAAAACGCTTCCGTAACGCGCGGCGGTCCAACCTTTTTCTGCGGTTTTCATCCGGAACGACGTCGTCGTCATGCGGACGCGAACGACTCACGTATCTCGTCGCGTTGGAAAACGCGTTCGCGACCGCGCCGAAGACGATTGGACGTGAGTAATCGGGTTTTTTTTTTCTCTTTCTTTTTCTCCTATCTCGTCGCGTTCCGTTCGGTCAAGGAAATCGTCCAGCGAAACCGTTTCGTTGCAACACACACCATTGCCCGGGGTCCCCGCGGTTCGACGTCATCGCGACTTTAGGTCCCGCGCCACGTCACTTGGTCACCCCAATGTCGTTTCGTTCGGAACGTTTTCGATAAGTCACGTCGTGGAACGTGTTTTTAATTTTCGGTGTTGATATCGTGTCGGGCGCAACGCGTTGGTGGGCGGTCGACAACGAATTACGAATCGGAATATTATCGAGCGTTACGCGACGACACGTAAACGTCTTACTATTATCGGACCGCAACATTCAGGTACGGGTGTAAAACCGTAATTGAAGATGGAAAGGATACTGAATTAAATGTAAATGATCAATTAAAATCAAAACTTTCAAAAATTACACGACAAAGTTTAATCTTTTTTGTTTTGTCTACGTCAATTTACAAATAAACACTAATCTTGATGTTTTATTTTCGAGAAGTCATGACCGCGCCTCCCTCTTTCTAGATTCGTGCCTAACTCTACTATCGTGTGTACGGCGTTAGCCACATAACACAATTCGAGATTCCGCTCCTCTCGTCGTCGTCGTACTTTTCGTACGATCGTGCGGCAAATATAGATCTTCGGTCGAAGTATTTAGTTCACTACGAGAAAGTTGAAAAAAAAATGATTTAAAAATTACGAAAACAAATTAAGGATGAACGACCGGTGATATTATATTGGACTGATGTTTTCGTTATCTTCGGTTATTTTGCGTGCGCATGAGGGTAGCGTAACGCCGCGATGGAAACGAACGCGCGAGAGAGTGTTACGTCATCGTCACATGTAGAAACGAAAATTTCTCACGCAATCATCAATCCACCCGCATACCAACATTATCGGCGTCCGAAAAAACCCATTAGTAAACGAGAGCGTCGGTTTATTTTGTAAATCAATTGCGAAACGAAACTTTCTGCGGTGGTTACGACGCTCATCAGTTTTAATAGTATTACGATTTTACGATCTATATTCCGCACAATATGCATTTATTGAAGAAGCGCTGCAGTTCCATGGGTACTATACGATTGCGAATGGAACGATTCCGAACGGACCTTTTCTCGTATCACGATTGCGAATGTTTTTACCTGCCGTTTTTCGTGCGGCGTTGCCAGATTCATTGAACAGTCAATTATATTTATATTTATATAAATGGTTTTCTGCTATTACGCCGGACGATAAGATATACTAATATACTATTTATCTATAGTAGGTATACCTATATATCATATTTATATGATTATATTCATTTGATGGAAAACCAGATCGATTCAAATAGTCGTTCAGTATTATTTGTCATGTGTCGTATTCGTTTTGTTCTGTTCGATAAATTATGGAACAAATTCGAATAATAATGTCCGAAAGAAGAAGGGAGTTAGCTCCTTTACGTAATTTTAAATACAGTTTCGTAAGAAAACGTAAAGATGGTTACATCAAATGGGTCTGTACAGACAAAAATTGCACTGCAAGTATTACAACAACAACGGATAAGAAGTCTCTACATCAGTCAACTGGTGAGCATAAGCATTTGGTTAACAGTCAACAAAAAATTGAACAACACATCTTGATAGAGAATTGTAAAAGAAAAGCCGACAAAAATATTTCTACCAGGCCATTAAAAATTATACGAACTAAATTAATTAAAGATAATCCGACAGATATAAGATAAAGTGATATACAATCTGTGCGTAAAGCGATATACGATAAGCGACGTAAAATGTATCCTGTTTTTCCCACATCATTAAACGAAGCAATATCTCAACTGAAACTGGTGGAAAATGATTTTTGTTATTTTAATGAAGAACAATTTGTTTTTGTTCCGGAAAATGACGAATTTGTTTGTATAACTACAAAGGAAAATTTAAAATTTATGACAATGCAAAATGAATTTTTTGGAGATGGTACCTTTGATTACGCACCAAAATTTTTTTTACAACTTTATACTTTACATTCTTACACAAATGGTTTTTATGTGCCCATTGTATATATTCTTTTGCAAATAAAACAAAAAAAACTAATTTGAATATGTGGAAGTATATTTTGGAATTATATCAACAATATTTTACTTCTACTTTCGATGTTAAAAAACTTCATTTGGATTTTGAAGCTGCAAAAGAAATATTTCCAAACGTAATGATTGTTACATACCGTTTTCATTTAGGACAAGCATGGTGGAGAAAGGTAATAGTTAAAATCTAATCATATCAAAAAAAGGAATTTAATTGAATAAAATATTTACAGATAAATGGAGATTTGAATTTGAGAAATGCATACAAGGATATTAACAATGAATTAGGTCAATGGCTAAAATTATTTTTCGGCTTACCATTTTTACCCATTGACAAAATTGAAGATGCATTTTTAACATTAATAGCTGAATGTCCCAGCCTTGTAGAAGTGAATGTATTTACAGATTATTATCGACATATATTAGACCTGATGCGTTATTTCCACCGTATCTTTGGGCACAAGAACCCTCAGAAAATCCAAGGTATGTTTTTAAAGAATTTAACTTAGAAATTTCATTTCTTTTTCATTTTCTTAAAATTGTACTTAAAAAAAATCAAAATTTTTAAGTTTATATAATTATTTTTTAGAACTACCAATGGGCCAGAGAGCTTTCATAGGACGTACAATGATCAGTTTTATAATTCCCATCCTTCAATACACGCAGTGATTTCAATTTTAAAACAAACACAAGCACAAACTTTGACAATAATCAATTCTATTAAAAACAATGCTCATAATCTTATGGCCCAAAAAAGATAAATCTATTATTGAGTCAACAAT